CAATGTAATGTGATTTTGAGATCATGCAAATGGAATAAACTAGAAGAGGAAAAACTGATTCTTAACCTCAGATGTAATTTGCTGTGTGAGTTCTGGCAATTTTAAATGACATTGCACTTTTTAATTTTTCCAAAGGCTCAGCAGCAAATTTATCCCAATCAAGAAAGCCTATTATTAATTTACAAGGACAATTGTAGGGGTCTTTATAATTTCCCTGTGCAATTATTTGCCATAAATTGCTAATAGTGAAATATATGAAGTTTGCAAGAAACAGCAACTGCTATTTACCTAGACAGATCGCTCAGCCCAAATCTTGAATGTTGTCCAGAGGTTCTAGTGCTGTTGACAGTGTAAGAAATATAACCAAGCTTCTGGATGGTTTCTAAAATGTTTCATACTGATAGTACCCAAAAGGTAGAAGCATTAAGAGCTATTGTGAAGGGTAGGCTGGCCTCTAGCAGATTCCTTCACTTTGCTTGTATACAGCTGAGCTTTGGATCCTGGACTTTGGAATAAAAAGAGTCTTTGTTCATCACTGAATGGCATTAGGCATGGGCTTCCTAAGGGGCCACCATGAAGCCTAGCATGAAGAGTGCAAACACTATCCAGAAAGCAAAATAAGAATGTTTGTGAAGAGATGATGGACAAATACTGCTCTATGTGCATTGCTGTAGGTTTATATATACTTAAGTTGCTTATATGGAGAACTTGCTTGCGAAGTATTGATTACTCAGTTTTATGCATGCAGTGTATTTTGCAGATGTGTGCCAATGCTGACTATGCATGCACATAGAGGCACCAAACCTGTATGTGTATGCATTTGTGTCCGCAGCAGTCGAGATACTCCAAAAGGCAAGTTTTTAAAATTTAAAAATCCAGTCCAGGTAAAACTAAAATTGCATGTCACTCAGTCCTGATCTCCACTGTATATCATACAGTGCCATTTGACTGAACATACTGTGTTAGTACGTGAATGATGGAACACAGAACATCTACAAATAGCATACCCTTATTCCAATAATGGAGAAAGTTCACTGGCTTAATTCTTGTGTACTTCGTAGCCATAGCTCCACTGTGTGTTTAGTATGTCTAGTCTCTTTTCACTATAAACAACAGAAGCACCATACAAAAGTCTTACAATGGATGTCTTAATCTCTCTGTGTGCTTTTAGAGCATTATTTTGAATTCCATCATGTGGGCTTTTTTTTTTTTTCTTTCCTCTTCTGAAGTTTTATTACAACAACAGAATTCCCAGGGAGCTTTAGGGGCAAGGTTCGCATAATATTGCCCTAAAGTTTTGCTCGAGGGGTGGAATCCGCACCCCAGTCCTGATCATCTTTTTGTGGTGTTTCTCTTTCTGAAAGATGCAGTGCGCAGTGTTACCGAGTTGTTAACTGTGTACAGATTTTTTTATTGTTTACCAGACAGTGCACATCTACGAACCTTTCATGATGATTTCTTTCTCTGACCTCTCAGTGACTAGGCATCTTGTTCCTTAACACTGAGGGAGGCTGAAAAATGCTTGAGTTGCTCAATGTGTGCCTTCTATACCAGTTTCAAAATGGCTTATTCTTCTGGTTTCCATGGTGACAATTAACACTGTTACAAGGCATTGTTCCAGTCTCCATTTGGGCAGAATTTTCGGGTGTGATTTTTCACACAAAAAATGTTTTATATAATTTTTTAAAGAAAAAAAAAAGAAGGAAAAAAAGGCACAATTTGGTATAATGTGTCAAAAAGTGTGTCTCAGTCAAACCTGCTGGATTTCTTAGAAGATTTTTATCAGGGAAAGTAAGGTTTTAACTTGCTCTGTTTTGAAATTCAACTTCTCGTGTTTTAAATATTTCTGCCAAACTTATTCACAGATAAATGCTACTACCTTTTTTAAAATTCCACTGTTTTCTCTTTGAGAAATATTGATTGTATTGAGTGAGAAAGAATAAAAAGCCAAAATTCTTTGACTTACATAACAATGGTTTGGATTTCTTTTGAGTGGCTTCAGGAACACAAAACCAGCCATGCATGCGCACAGCTAATCATGCTGTAAATATTTTGCAGTTTTTCCAGTATGTTGTTGTTTGGGGGTTTTTCCCCAGTTTTTTAATATGACAGGTGTTGTGGGAAATTAAATAGTACTCATTTATTTATTATTGTGGCTGTTGCAAGAACCCTGTGACTTTAACTTTCTTAATCTCATTTTTGGCTATTAAACAGTAATCTATATCATAGCATCCACAGACAGTCACAATGGAGCAGCCTTTGCTCACTAAAAGCTGAGGAAAGAATGAATCTGAAGATTAAATTATCTTCTCACCACAGGATTAAATAGTCCTACCAGACTAGGGTTGTGCAGCACTGATAGAGCTGGTAGCTAATTTTTCCATGCAACTGCTTAGAGTGTAGGTGTTTAATGGATTAAAAAATAGCAATAGCAATAGCATCTCATGCTATCAATTCTCCAGCTGTACCTCCTGTACATTAAGCTCTTCCCTTAACTTAAAATACACACTGCATGTTAAACATCCAGGACTGAAACAATACTGACTCTCAGTCACATACCAGTACATCTAATAGCAAACTGAATTCTTTCGTCTTTTACGGTTACAGTATAATACATTTTCTATCAATCAGCACTTTCATCATGCTTGTTTATACAGTAGGTTACACGGTGACAAAGACAGCATGTACATAAAATCTAGCTTATTTATTTTTTAGTGTAATAACCTTTTACAGCATCTGTCACACTACTTGGATTATGCTGCACTGAATTATTTTATCTAGTCCAAAATTAAATGAAACGTCTTCTGTTTCTGTGTTAACAAGAGCATTGTGGTGACGAAACATGCAACATGTTTTATTTCTTCATCAGTCCTGCACTGTCCAGGAGCACGCCCAGCCCCAGCCCAGGCAGCAGCAACTGCCAGCCTGGAGCAGGTGATGAGCGTGAGCGAGCTGTGCCTGCGCCAGTGTCATGCAGCTAGAGGACTCCCTCAGTCTATTAATTCACTTGACAAAAGAAAGGGAGTCGCACGAACTGGATTTCAGTGCCTAGCAAATTGGACTCTGGATTCCCCTTGATATTACGTGTACTTATGGAAATAATTATGCAAATCCTGTTCAGCTATATCATCTTTAAATAGAAATCAGATTACATAAAGAAGATTGTAATCTCCCCCAGTCACCGTTCTAGCTGAAAAGGCAATGATACAGGACCAAGGAGCATACTTGTTGAACATTGTAGCCCAATAAAATGGTGCTGCCTCTTGGCGGATCCAGTTCCCTAGTGCCAGACCTGGCTAATGCCTCCCCTTGTACATTTCTGGCACCTTAGCTGCAGTACACCGAGTATCAAAAGACAAGTTCTTTATAAACAATTCCTTGTTTTTTACTATGCATATTCATGTAATTTTGGATACGCAGACACCTGATCAGTGTTCGTTAATAATGAGAAATGGTTTAAATCATCTCATTTAAAACATTTGCTCTATGATCCACAAATGACTAATATTTGCTGAAGTTTACATAATACAAATGATGTGCATGTGTTGTGTAAATGAGAGATTAAAATATGAAACTAACAATATGCAAACATATGCATGGAAATGCTGAGGACCTGTTAGCGGAAACAGTGATTTCACACCTTTATTATTTTCTTTAAGCTGTCTCCAATTGTATTTTTGCTTTGTTTTCCTGCAGAGCATGTTCTTGGATCTGGCAAAGGCACCCATGTTTTAAACATTCCTTGTTCTAGTTTAATTTTTTTATACTTAGCCCAGTTATTAACATTTTCAGTATGAGCTGCTATAGCAGCTTTCTTGGCTGAATATAAAGCAAAGAAAGCCTAATGTTTAGGCTGCAATTTGCTAATAGCTATGCATAATTTATGTATGTCTTATAAACACCTTTGTAAGAATATGCGCTGAACTCTCCTCTTTCAGTAAAAGAAGCATTTTTGGCAATATCAGAAGTTCTATTTCTAGGAGTGTTTTATACATAAGAGGGGGAGGGAATTAGCTTAACTGTGTGTAGGGCATGTATATGAGTGGATGCCTGTGTGTTAAATTTTATTTTTTGATTTACTGTACCAGCTACTAAAATGGAATTAATCACTGTAGTAACTATTAAATTTAATACTTAATTCAGGTTTTCAGAGAATACAGGTTTTAAAGAGAGTTATTTGCCAATGTGTCTGTAGATTAGAATACATTTTTATAGAGCATATAAGTAATATACAGCTAAAATATTTAGAAAGTCATATTTAATTTTGAAAGAAGTTGCTGGTTTTATTGCTGTTTTCTCTGTCCTTTTTTTTTTAACAATAAAGAGCAGTGCAGGAAATAAAATGTAGTTTCAGCTTCAAGAAACTGTTGGACTGTATGAGCTTTGTGGCTGGGTGTGCCATTTCACTGCTGCTGTTGGCTGATGCAATAAAAATCAAGTTACTGGTATTGTTCTGTAAAGGAGTTATGTTTAATTGTTTTTCGTAGGTAAAACTCTCACATTTTTATGTGAAATAGCATTTCAGACCCGTATATGAATCTACAATGAGAGAGAGAGAGAAGAAATAAACTGTACAGGAAACATAATTGTTAAATTATTTCCTAGTTGGGTCTTTTTTCTAATGGAAAGCCTCAGTGTTACTGGCTGAAGCAGCATATTTAAAAAATAAGATACCACTGACTTGAATGAGACAAAGGCAGATCAAGCTTCAGATGAGAGAGTGTTAGTGAATTTTACTGTACAAGTGAATATTGTGAGTGAATATTACTGCACGTAATCAATTGCTAACTGCCTGCATAGATACGTCACTCAGAAGGCTATGTGCTTGGTACCAACATGTCTTACAATATGTCATGAGAAGGTTTGCATGCTTAAAAAAGAAAAATTTAAAAAACAGCATAGTGAGCATGATTATAACTGGGCACATACAATTAAAGTTTAGTTTTTTACAGAGAAAATTCTTCCCAGTAGCTAATATTATCTGTTTCTTTTCATTTTAGAGATACAATGTAGAATTGTCAATCAGGCACCCGAAAAAGATGGAACTGCTTAGTAAGGTTGAAGCTCTGAAGAAAAGTGGTGTTTTACTACCGAATGATCTCCTTGAAAAAGTGGATTCAATTAATGAAAAATGGGAACTGCTTGGGGTATTTGCATTTTTATTACTGTTTGTGGGTTATGTGTACATTTTTGTGTGTTGAAGTACGCTGTCTGTCCGATTTCTAATTTGAGGCACAAATATCTCTCTCTTTCAATTCACCACGCACATTTCAAACAAGCTACTCATGCTATTATAAAAATTCCATAGTATTTTCCTCTTCTGTTGATTTTTTTTATTCCATGCTTGTCTCCTGTCTGACTTTAATAATTTTAGTTCTTTAATACATAAAAAATGCAAGTAAAATATGCCATGTATTACGGGTATGCACCAAGTCAACTATAATGCAGTATATCTGATATACACTGACTGTCATGCTTGAGTGAATGTTAATAGAATTTATTCTGAAGGTACATGTTAGAGACATCTACTGTTTAACTATTTACTATACCCTTAAGATGAAAAGTGGGGTTGTCACTGCATATTTCAGGTCACACTGATGGCTCAAAAACAAATATGCAGATTCAGTACAAATCTGAATACCTGAAGCTAAGAATACAGCCAAGATACGTTTCATGCTGCGGTATTCAGCTCACTTTTGACAAAAGCCCAAAAAGTTTCGTGTAATTCATTTCACGCTATGATGGGCTGGGTCTCAGCCAAAGAGTGAGATACAAGAATCTGGTAAAAAAAGCAATATAGTGATTCTGTTACCCAGAGACCAGTGATGGCATCGTGCAGGAGACACTATTGTCCTATTGTTGTAAAACAGCTGAGAGAGAGAGAGGTCAAACTATATATTTTTCCATCCACTTCTCTCCTTAATTGCCTTCACTTCAAATCAAGGGTAAGATAAATTTATAAATTACTTTAAATGATTAATTATTGATGTGTGATATTAGCAATACAGTTACATTGCATAATTTTGCATGCTATTATCTTAGTTTAAAAAACATTTCTAATATATTACGAGTAAGCTATACATGCAACCTGCCAACAGCATTTTAAATACTGACTTGTGTCACTTTAGCTTATTTGGTAATGCAATAGCCATTTTACAGAGGGTGGGGCTATTTTAGTTCAGCACAGTTGTTTCTAATCACTTGATTCTCTAAATGTGGAAATTGTCAGGAGATGTTAAAAGTTGCCTTATGACTAGTGAACTTAGTACTTTTTCATTTTAATCTGTAGCATCACCACAAGAATTTTAAAACTATGTGAACATTAATAAATGTACTGATAAAAATGGGACCTATTAACCTATTCTTTTACATATGATCACAACAACTTGTATTTTTAGAAGAATTTCAGTTGTAAGCCTTACATTTATGGCATTCAATGTCTTTAATCAGGTTAATTCAGTGGCACTGATTAGAGCTGCTAGGATGTAAAACTATAAGTAACTGATTATCATTCTAAAAATCTAGCAAAACAGTCTTAAAAAAAATTGAAGCCCTCCACTTCTCAGTATGTTAGAATCAAAAGATACCTCTGGATTCAATTTTGCCGTTAATTTCAGCATTTGCAAAAAAATAAAATACAACTTTTACAGTTTTCCTGCTAAATGCATTTTCATGAATAATAAGCAGAGTTTGATAGAGTTTTTTTAATAAAAACCTCTGCAGAAAGTAACAGCACTAGGCATACTGTTTTAATTGGCATGATTACATTTTAATTGGCATGAAAAAAATTAAAGACAAGGATTTTAACTTCTAACAATGGTAAAATAGAGGGATATGGTTTTTAATATTACTTTCATCTAAGGTGAACAGTGTGGAATGGAAATACATTAGAATGAAATGTCAGTGGTGCGTACAGTTTAATCTGTGAAATTTTGTCCCCTGTGCTGAATATTACTCTGTCTCAATTGCATATTAAACAACCCTATCAAGGCAGGCATTGGCATCTGCTGTGCTGACACAAATTGTGAATTAAATGAAATTGATGTCCTCTGTCGTATATTTATGAAGACGGACCATTCTCTGAAGTATTCTGTTTATGAAGAATTTATGATTGCAAACTGTTCCAGAACAAAAAAGTGGCAATAAATTCTTTTTTGTGACCCTACCCTCCAAGGGCATTGATTTCACCTCCTGCTGCTACTTTTGTTACAGCATAAAAACAATAGCTAGTGCTGGATTCCACTGAGAGTCTTCAAATTATCAATATTTGCACCATGAAAATAGAAAGATGTTGCCAAGAAAGCATGTTCTTCAGTTATGATCTCCTAAAGACGTTATTTACAGAATGCCACAGAGTAGATTAATGTCTGTTGGCTTAATTTTATTTGTGTTTTAAAGCTCATTTTTGGGACCTAATTTCATTGTTCTAAATTATATTCCAGTAACTTTCTAAAGCATGCATTTTCAACAGACAGCCATACCAGGTCACCTAAAACTGTATCTGCATGTTACAACAATTAACCACTGCTAATTATCAGTTTAAAAGGTTATTGGATGTGATTGTCAGTGTATATTCAATATTCTACAGTCAGTAACACAGATCTAGTGCTTATAATAAGTGTCAGCCTGACAGCCTCTCATAGGTCAGATGAAATACTGCTTGGCGTAGAAGCAGCAGGCAACAGCATATCTCCCTTGTGATGTTAAAGGATTGCTTTTCAAAATACTGAAAAGGAAGGTAACTTTCTATCCCTGGCCTCTTCAGAATATTCATTATGCTCACAGCGTCCACTATCAAAATGTTATTCAGTGGCTCTTTTATTAGAAATACTACTTTCAAAAGCTGTAGTAAATTAGTTTCATTAGCGATCAGAGGTGAATGTTTATTCTTGTCTATTATTTTTAAAGTGGATGCTTAACATGGAGAACTTAAATCCGAATTTAGTTGCCTAAATAATTGGCCTGATCTTCAGTAACATTGAGGCTTTGCAGTTTCTAGCTTATTGGTGTCTGAATGAGTTTATCCACTTTTAAAAGCAAACCAGCTGTTTTGTGACCTAACTGCTCCTGTATATGACTTCAGGGCTACAAGTTTGGCAACTCTGACCTGACAGTTCATACCTCAAAAAATATTTCAATGTTTCCCCCAAAATTAGAGGGCACCTTGGATAATAGTTTAGCAAACTCAGTGCTTTGTCGTATTTTCTGTCGCTACCTAGAAACCAGTAAATTTCATGGTCATAAGCATCTAAAGCCACAGACAAATTCTGTAGAGTAACTACTCTAAAAAGTTGCGTACCATTTTGTGTCCTCTGTCCATAGTTGCTCTTAATAAACATTGATTTATCATGCTTTCAGAAAACTCAGTGACCCAGAGAGAATAGCATAAGTGAGAAACAAGGATACAAAAAATGAAATTGATTGAAACAAGGAAACAAAGAATGAAATGGATAGGTATTAGTAGTAATTATTAGAAAACCCCACATCTCTAGTCATCTAACAGATGCGTCCTGTTGCACATTAACCTGTATGTGTTTTGGTGCATAAGACTAATCTATGTTTTCTTTATTTGATGCATTAGAAAACCCTAGGAGAGAAGATCCAAGACACAATGGTAGGGCACAGTGGGTTAGGTCCACGTGACCTGCTCTCGCCTGAAAGCGGCAGCCTGGTAAGGCAGCTGGAGGTCAGGATCAAAGAGCTGAAAGGGTGGCTGAGAGATACAGAGCTTTTCATCTTCAATTCCTGTTTGAGACAAGAAAATGAAGGAACAATGAATGCTGAGAAACAACTGCAATATTTTAAGGTAATAAAAAAACAATCATAGTTTTCATAGGGAGATTCCTCTTTATGGTAGGATAAAATATTTATCTTGTACATAACGTAATGCAATGCATGTACATATGTAATCATGTATTCATATTTTCACCTTCATTTCTGTACTATGTGTTCGTTCATGTTGATTTTATTGAATCTTTACAATAATATTTGTTCCTTAGACATCTTGTGAAAGAGAGCTTTAAAGGACTAATCACATCACAACTGGAAAAGCAATAGTTGTCTTTCATTCTACTTCACTATGAAGCTGAGTTTTGTCACAAAAAGCTTCACTCTGAATTTCACTCCCTATGTCAGTTAAATGAATATGTGTTGTGTGACTACCAGTTTAATAGCCTATTTCTCTACACATATGAGTCAAGAATAGCCTGTTTGAGGTCACTTTTACAGAGCTATAAATTTAGCATACATGAGAAAACATTCAAGTTTGTGGTGAGTAGATATGTGGAAGAAGGCAGATACACTATGAGATTTGCACATCTTAAGCCTAAGCCTGAAGATTTTTGGAAAGGAGGGAAAAGAATTGTAGTCACAATGCTATATTCAGATGGATAAGCTCCTTCAACTGAAGGACAGCATTCAGCTTTGCAGCTGACTTAGTGGAGGGTGTATGGGTTGCTCCATTCCCAAAAAGTAGTGGGACTATGTAGGAAAGAGGGCGATGAAGTTAGCCAACAAGCCTGGTAGAACCATGTGATGTTCTTCTGTTCATAGCTATCACTTCTAAATAAACACTCACCTGAGTCATCATTACAGGTCACTTTACTCTGCAAGTGATCTTTGACCAAAGAATAAGAAAGGAATGACAAATAATTGTTGAGCTTTGGAAGTAACAAGGTTTTTCTCTTCCACTAGTGCATCAAGGTGTCTAGGGCAACAGCACTCTTAAGGTGATGGACTATTTATTAAATACTCACCTCAAAGGGCATGTTCAAACACTTCTAAATAAATATTTTTTATACAAGCGTTCAAGAAAACACCAGCAGAAAAACGACAGTCTTCCCAATTAGTTATTCCTTAACTTTTCCAATCATGAGGATTAGTGAGAAGGTTGTGTCAATGCACATGAAGTTGGTGAGGTTTTTTTCAGGTTCCTGAGCATGTCCGTTTAAATGCGATTTTAAATTTTCTTATGACATCTGTATTGTTTGGTGTTTTTTATTAATTTGTGGTCATCTGCTAATGGGAAAAAAGTCATGTTGACTCTGTTTGTTGTATCAGGAAACTTCAAAGCTAGTGATTATGAAGGACTGTTGATAGATCTGCTGAACTTCATAGCAATAGATACGTGTTTTCCATAGGAAATGCTGGATGCTTCTTATTTCTGTGGAAAATTATGGTATTTATTTAAGTGCATAACTATGGATTTGAAAATCTAATTTTAGACAAACTTGTTTTTAAATATATATTTTTATATATATGGCTAAGACATTCATATCTATATATGAACAGAAATACCCTAGCAATGTTACTTATGTATTTGGAATATGCATAAATCTCTCAAATGAAATCTTAATATATATATGACATGATGTCATGCCAAGAGCTCTAGAGATGTTAAACAGGATAGTACCACCCACCATGACGTAACCAGAGTATTTCATTACTTGGTTGATTATCTATTAATTACATAAATAATACATTAATTATTTTCAAAATGGTAGCCATTAGAGTATAAAAAATAATTACCTATCGAATATGGTGAAGCCACATCACTTTGTCATGTATATTAAACCATCTTTGTCTCATTAAATCTGAAATCCACTATAAGTAAGTTTTCCATTCTTCACTGATCTCCTGGGGAAGTGTATAAAAGAGAAGATGGATATAATTAACAATACTGCAATGTAAAATATATATATATATGAGAAAGAACATTTAGAACATTTTCAAAAACATTAGCTATGCCACTAGTAGGAAACCTGCTGGGGTTTAGTTTGACTTACTTTCCACTTAAGAGTTTAACCTTATTACTGCTTTCACAGTGGTAAGTGAATCATTGTTTCTTAATGGAAATTTATTGTGCTGCACCATCCTGATTATACACATAGCCACTGTACACAGAGAAACATTTTTAATAAAATAAACTCAACAATGCCATTGATTTCATTCCATAATGTTATGTTTTAAATTACACTTATGCCTTAGGAAAAAGAGTTATTTCATTTTTCAGGTGGTTTCCTTTCATTTTGCAATTGGAGGATGAATTGAATGTATAGTTCACATGCAGTTGGGACCCAAGATGAGAACACTGGGCTGGGAGGAGGGATTGTTAAATTCACTAGTAGGAAATCATTTTGACTTCTCTGTTTTCTTTTCTAAAAAATCATGCCATATTAATTTGAGTGTTCTTTTTATTAGAGAATGCACTACTGCATTACTTTTCTTTTGGGATATTGCTGTGCAGTAATAATACTTAGCATTTCTATAGTACTATCCAGCGAAGGAGCTGTACATGCTGTACAAACATTAATGAATTAAGCCTCACTAAACCTTTAAGGTAGGTATTATTATCCTATTTTTAGAAATTAGGGAAATAAAGTGCAAGGAGATTAAGTGACTTTTCCAAGTGTTCACAGAAAATCAATGGCTGTGTTAGGCCAGAACCCAGCTACGGTGACCCTAATCTTTGGCACTAACCACAAGGCAGCCCTTTCTTTCTTCCCCTAGGTGACTTCTCAGTATGTTCCTTTTTCATATGTGATGAAAAGAGGGCGCTTCCTTATGTTTACTTCTGTTTCTTGTTTATATTCAAAGTTCAAATCCTGCTGAGTATGTTTGGCTGATTATTTTCCATTATTATTAGTGTATTTAGATATTAGAATTATTAGGATATTATTAGTTAAGGTCATTATCCAGCTTATGTAAGGTCCTGTATTTCCTGGTTTTGTAGAAACTACGTGGTATACTTTGGCCAGGCCAATGATCTCTGTGCAACACAACATGCAGCTGGTTTCCAGAGCCATTTTGTTACTCATTCCACCAGCTTTCAGTGCTCCTGGCTGCCTCAAAAGTTTTCATATTTAGTTACAAAGGAAAGGCACAAAATTTGCCTCAGTCTGTAGTGACGCTTGCTGGCCATTCCACAGCAGCATGAAGTCAGCTTCCAAGTGTAACCTAACCAAGGCTGCTCTCAAGAAGGGGGAAAGAGAGAACACAATTTGCACAGCTGTTAAGGGGGACACATAGGTGTCTTACTCCTAGTGTGTTTTCTTCAGTTGCCGCCTGAAAAACCTATGAATCTGGACGAAGAAAAGCAAGTGATTGACTTAAAATTCATGAGATCTTCATAACTGTGAACATACATTTATTTTATCTATTCATCCTTTTTATTTCTGTTCTGCTTTTTGAGTCCCTTGAGTTCATGTTTTCTAGCTTTTCACTGAAACGATGAGGACCAGAACCATACTCTTTAAATGAAATACAAGATTCTCAGGTAAACACATAATTCTAGCAGCTGAAAGACCTAATGTCATGAGACTAATTATTGGCACAACTGATTTCCTAACTTAATGATGTACCGCAATTTTGTGGGTCAGGAGAGATTTGGAGCAGGAAAGAATGAGGAGCAATAATAAAAAGAATTCACATTCTTTCATGGAAGCTTTAGTAAGTTTAATTCAGTAAGGTCTAGCCAGAAATTTGTGTGCTTGTTGGCTTGTAAGTAGAAGTGTTCTGCCACATTTGCTTTCATGCATCTGGGACTTCAAAAAGCATGCTGCTTTTCTGCAAAATGCCCTCCAAAAGACAGCAAGGGAGTCTAAATAATTAGTCGTTTATTTCTGTCACTTGCAATAAAACTTATGGCTTTAAGTGTTCAAAGTAGAGAAAGGACCCATCAGCATTAAAAAGGTAGTTGTTATGGCTTTGGCTCACAGACTAGCTACTCAAGAACAAGCTTAGACTTGCATCTGTCCATCTCAGAATCCCTTCTCAACCACATAGAACTGGGAAAGTTTCTATTGCTTTTGGTAGCAAGATTTGTAAAGGATCCTGTTCTCCTTCCCCTCCAAACTTGGTTTGGAAGGGGAAACAGGATTTTCCTGTTCAGAACAGGATTTTAGCAGAGGTTTTCTGCTAAATGGTGTTCTTTAGCAACAAGAAAGTTGCATTTCATGCAGTTTTCTGATCTGGTTTTATTTGAAGCAATAAGCAACATGCTACGTATAATGTCATACCTGTCTCCTAAATCTGTACTTGGGCCTTTAAAAAGAGAGGCATGGTTTTCAGCAGTACTGAAAACTTGTGGTTCTCATTGACCTTAGTCAATGTATTCATTAAAGAAATCAGACTGCTTATTCGTTGGAAACATTTTCTCATTTAATATTTCTAAAAGTCGATGGTCTATTGAAATCCATGGTTAGCAGTATTTGTAGCCATTCCTGTTTATCTTGTAAACAGTGTAAATTCTGTTTGCCTTGTAAGCAGTGTAAATTATCTGATGATTGTAGCTCTTTCTAATGGGTAGACTCGCTTAGAAGTGTATGTTTTCTGCCACTAAATTGGTGACTGAGCATACCAGAAAATGCAATGTCATTAAAAAAAAATAAATTCTCAGCACCATCTCTTATTTCTCCAATACTTAAAACAGCTGAACTTTCTGATTAAACAATGTGGTTTCCATTGGTAATTAATAATAGTCAATCAGTTAATCAGTACTTCTTAGGATGCGTTTTTAACCAAGTTTGCATAAGAGTCAGCACTGCACACCTTACAAACAATTCAGCTAAACATAATTCTATCAAATACAGCAGAAGTTGGTTTGGGAGCATATAAGATTATGGCCAAACTGAAATCTAAGGAAAGTATTAACTCTGAGTAAAGGTTTGGAGACTCAGAGATTGGAGAAAAATGCTGACTATTCCTACTGGTGCCAGGAATCACTTTTGCTACTGCATTTTGGAACCTTGACAATTTTTTTGGAATGATGTTCCTGGCAGAGCTGCAATCAAAGAATTACAGAAATTC